GATTCCCTGTTCTGATGATTTCCTGTTCTGTTCATTCCCTCTGGGGCACCTGGCATCCTCTTGGAAGACAGGACACTGGGCTAGATGGACCATTGGTCTGACCCAGTCTGGCCGTTCTTATGCAAGTACATTTTGAGACCTATTTGGAGACTTCGTAGCAAGGTTGCTATGGAGCAGGCTGGAGGTGCACCTGCGGAGCTGTTTGGGGAAGCCACAGAGTGCACTAGCAGGGGATATTCTGAATCAGGATAGAGGTGCACGGGCAGAGCTTGGGAATGGGGAGGGTGTTGTGACTTTGGGACTGGAACGACAGGTGGTGCAGCCGGTCACAATGGGGGTGCATCTGTGCCCATTCCGTAGTGTTTGCTGGCGTTGTCTCCGCTCCCCTGCTCACTTTCATGGGAACTAAAAGCAAAACAAACAACCCCTCTGAATTCACCTAAATAAATAACTGCCATATACACCGTGCTGTAACCTCTCTCCTGTTTGGAGGGTCCTTGCACACGAATCCAGGACTGGAATGCACAGAGCAAGGGAGAGAGCATTCCTGCACCGTTGTTTCTCATGGCCTTGCACATACCTGGTTAAACAGCTCCTTTTTTCTGGGGGACGAAAGCTAGAAGAAGCTATGCAAAGTTTAAGTGCTGCCTGCGCTGGTTTTCCCTGGAGAGGGTGAAGCGCAGGGCTAATTGGATCCCGCCTCTGCTTTCTCTCTAGGAGGCTGCAAAGTTGCTTCTTCTCCTTATCGGTCCAGCAGACACTAAATTTAGATCCAAGGCACTCTGTTGATGATGGTAGTTAAAATAAATCCTCCTTGGTCTGGGCAAACCTCCTTTCCTCCCTTCAGATGGCTTGCAGGTCGCACTCCACGGGCTGCTCGGGGAAGTGAAACTTCTTGCCATCTTAGCTCTCCTTGGTGGGACGACTGTAAAAGTTGAGAACTAGGCATGTGCTCGTGTCTGTGTGTGTGTGGATTAGCCTAGGGAAATCATGCCTGGAGCTGGGAATAAAGCCGTAACTGTGACAGTGTCATAGAAAGTAGAAATAGCAAAGACTGGTCAGGAGACCGTGCAAGATAGTTCTCAAGAGAGTGTTTTCTAATGCTTTGTGAATGCGGAATTGGACCCTTTCTCTCATCTGTGCGTGCGCTTCTTGGAGTAGAGAGAAGCGGGATAGTTTCCCATCCAGTGTTTGGAGAAGACATTAGAAATGGTTTCTGTGGCCGTTTGGCAGCTTGCGGATCTATTGCAGGGAGAGCAGTTGGGATGAGTGAGATGGGGACCGCTCAAATGAATCGTTGCGATTAAACTAAATATTAACGAACGTTGCCCTTCTTCAGGCTATGTCTACACGTAAAATGCGACAGTGGCACAGTTGCAGGGCTGCCGCGTTTGTGTCGACGCTCACTACAACGATAGGCGTGATTCTCCCATTGCTGTAGTTAATCCACCTCCCCGAAAGGTGGTGGCTAATTCTTCCGTCAACCTAGCGCTGTCTGCACCGGGGTCTAGGTGGGCATAGCTCGGGCTTTCAGGCAGGCGGATTTTTCACACCTGTGAGAGATGTAGCTATGCTGATGTAAGTTTCCAGTATAGACCAGCCGTCAGTGCCAAGGGGGCCGTTAGGAAGGACATGTAAGTAAGGGAAAGGAGAGCAGAGGTGTAGACAGGGCGTAGTTGTGCAGGACGTGGATGGTGTGGACAAGAAATCCAACCTTGCTGTGAAACTTAAGGGGAAGTCAGAGAAAAGAGTCAAAAAGGGGAGTGACTGCGTTTGAGCAGAGGGCATGGAAGATGACTTTTTTAGCAGCAGCAGTTTTGGCTAGAGTGGAAGCAGCTGAGATGCCGGGAGGCTGGAGAAGCGTTGACCAAGTCATGGTCGAGGAGGAGATGTTGGCAATGTAAGAGTGGAAGGAGAGACCAGGCTAGAGAGAGTGAGCAGCTGTGACCGGGGGGCCAAAGGAGGTCATCCAGAACAGCGTTCGAGGGAACCGGGGAATTGCTAATTATGGAACAGGAACTCACTGGGTTTATCAGAATATTGCCGGGGATAAGCTATGTAGAGGGTTGCCAGTCATGGTCTGGGGCTCTGTTTAGTCACTAGTTGAAATGTTTAGATTACTGGGTTTAATATCCGATCCTATGGGGAGTGTTAGCTGTGTCAGTCTCTCCAAATTCCATTTTGAGTAATTCTGTTCCGCCTCCTGTAAAATGCTCACTGTAGTTTCTGTGGAATGCTGAATACTTCTTGTTCTAAACTGTTGCGTAGCCTTGCTGGGCACTGTTGAATAGCTACTTTATTCCACCCCAGATGCAGCTGCAGTTCAGCAGTGGATGCGGGTGTTTATGTATTCTGGTGGGTGTTATGGATCAGGTTGCGGAATAGTTTTTCTTTTATGAACTGTTTTTCACCTGCTCGTAACCGGATCCCTGTGCATGCTGAAGCCACAGAATCTGCTGCAGAATTTAGGTTGTTTGCCTCAGAATATGTGGGGTCATGATCATAACTTTGATTGCAGTCTGAAAAGTACACCTCTACCCTGATCTAACGCTGTCTTCGGGAGCCAAAAAATCTTACCGCGTTATAGGTGGAACGGCGTTGTATCGAACGTGCTTTGATCCGCTGGAGTGCGCAGCCCCGCCCCCCGGAGCGCTGCTTTCCCACGTTATATCCAAATTCGTGTTATATCGGGGTAGAGGTGTATGTACACGAGAAGAGATATTTTGATAGTAGTTGGCTCTTTTTAATCTAGTAGAAAAAGGCATAACGAGATCTAATGATTGTAAACTGAAGCGAGGCAAATGGAGGCGAGAAATAAGGTGCGATTTTTAATAATTAACCATTAGAAGAACTTTTTCCTAGGACTGCAGAGTATTCTCCATCACTGGCGGTCTTTCAATCAGACCTCTCTAAGAAATGCTGGAGCTCACACACAAGTTGTGGGCTTTCTTCAGAGATTGCTGGGTGGGGTTGTCTGGCCCATGCTTTGCAGGAAGTCAGACTAGAGCAGTGGTTCCCAAACTGGGGTTCGTGAAATGTTACAGGGGGTTCCCGGGAAAAAATTCCCTAATGGCGGACAGAGCTGTCCCTAGGGACCCCGCGCAGCACGGGGCCAGCAGCACGGAGCCCCTGGACTTCCAAGAGCTAAGCAGATCAAAGCAAGCATCTCTATCACACTGAGGAGATTTAAACTTCAAGACTCCTTCTAAGAAATGGAAAGGGAGGTGGATATCTTGTGCTGTTTTTAAAATTAAATAGGCAGCTAGTATTGTTTTTTTTTAAATTACTATGAAGAACAAGTTTAAGCTTTGTTGTAACGTGCATTGTTTGCCTGGACTGTTCAAGACCTGAATGCTTGTGTAGAAGGAACTCTTTGAGTTGGCTTCTTAAATGCCTTCATGCTGTTTCACATCTGATACTCCTTGATGAAACATAGGAGCCTTGTCTTATAACAGGCTTATTCAAAGTGATACAAGCTACGAAAATGAGATCTTGGAAGCGTTTTGCCATTTTCATAATGTAATAAAAATACTGTAATGATAAATAATAATAAATAATAAATAGTGTGTAATAAGCATGTCATAAAAACAAATTTTATATTTCCAAGATCACTGCTTTTATAATTTATACTCAGGTAAAGGAGAAAATCCCTGGAAATATTTATTTTTAGGAGGGGGTTCGCGAGACTTGACATTTTAGTGAAAGGGGTTCACAGATTGTTAAAGTTTGGGAACCACTGGACTAGGGGATCATAATGGTCCCTTCTGGCCTTGTAATCCATGAACTTTTCAAAACACTCACTCTTTAGGCTGAACTCTTCCATGCTTGAGATCTGCCTGAAGAGCAAAATCTTCAGCAAGTGGGAGTGGAATCCCTTTGAGCCCCCTTCAGCTGAGGAGTGAGTGGGGGAGAAATAATCTCTTCCCACTGTTAAAATAAAATTCTTGACATTTTTTTAAAGATAAGGCTACAAACTGAAATGGCTTTTAATGGGGAACTGGGTATGAATTTAGCTTTCAGTGAGGAGTAGGACCTTTGCTTAAATTGGGGTTAAAAACTGGCTTTGATTTATTGAGGACAGGAGCTGTTGTAACTTTCAAATGGTAGAAAATTCCCAGCCTGCAGGTGCGCACTGGATGGTTGCTGCATCGAAGATGCATGCCCAGCTAGTGAAGGGCTAGGTCAGGGGTCTGCAATCTTTCAGAAGTGGGGTGCCGAGTCTTCATTTATTCACTCTAATTTAAGGTTTTGCGTGCCAGTCATACATTTTAACGCTTTTAGAAGGTCTCTTTCTATAAGTCTATAATATATAACTAAACTATTGTTGTATGTAAAGTAAATAAGGTTTTTAAAATGTTTAAGAAACTTCATTTAAAATTAAATTAAAATGCAGAGCCCCCCGGACCGGTGGCCAGGACCCGGGCAGTGTGAGTGCCACTGAAAATCAGCTCGCGTGCCGCCTTCGGCACACGTGCCATAGGTTGCCTACCCCTGGGCTAGGTTATGCCTTCCACGGGATGAATGCCCCACGATGTGCGGGGAGGATGGCAGAAGCTCCTCCCTGTCTCACTCCATGTCCCCTGCCCAAGAGGAGTGCTGGTAGGGGCACAAGGACTCCGATGTGCGGTGCTGACCAGCCCCAAGGGGTGTTTCTGGGCAGTGGAGGTGTGAGCAGGGCTATGTTGCATCTGCCTTCCCTCCCCCCTGCATCGTGACAGTTGTGGCTGGGACACTGGCTACACCTGAAAAGTAAAGGCAGGCCTGCTCGCACTGCACTCTCCCCTGCGGTGCCTAGCATGGCTCCAGTCAGTACTACCGAGGTCGTGCTCCTCTCTTCCTTGCCCAGCGTGAGTCAGGCCCTGAGTTTCCAGCTAGCCTGGTGCGTGCTGGTTGGTCACTTATGGAACTGGAGCAAGAACGTGACCCTGGCCGGATCGTGTGAGGTCCACATGCTGCATCAGTGCTCGGGGCTCACTGTGTCTGTCTTCCTGTATCTGCAGAGCGGCTGGCATCCCAGTGAAGGAAAGGGTGAAGGTCTCTCAGAACTGGAGGCACGGGCGCTGCCGGAGGGAAACGCTCCTGAAATGGAAACGCAAGCAAGTAGCTCCTTTTTCTTTTACCCTGTTCTGTGGCAGCCAATAGGGGACACTGGGTTTGCCTCTGTACTTTGATTTCAGACTGTTCGAGGCCCCCCCTCTCCCCCTTGATCTTTAGGGTCTTACAAGTGACACAGACAAGGCTGCTTTGTCGTTTGACTTACCTGATCAAACTGCAGTGGGATAACTGGAGGTGCTGCTTAGCCTGCTAGACCCCAAACCCAAGAACCCAGTCTCACCCGTCAATGAGGAGCCTATGTGCTTCTCCCAACAATAGGGGTTGGGGCATATTCCAGCCCTGGTAAATGCATTCTGCTTCCCCAGGCAGTTCTAGTTGGGTACAGCGTTCTTCACTTTGGATCCTAAACTGTTGAGTGATTTGTCTTCAGAGCCTGTCTGCATCTTGTCTCATACCACTGCGCCGCTCCTAATCTGTGCTCTGACAATAGAACGGGCTTCGCTGCTCCCTTGCTGCACCTTAAGCCTGGAATAATCCCTTGAGCTAATACAGTCCATGAGCTTCTCTCCTTCACATCCCTCCTCAAGATTCACTTCTTTTGTTCATTGCCTTCCACTGTTGGGCCCCCACCTGGCCTTTGGTCTGGACCCAGTCCACAAATCTTAAAATATTAACTTAGTTCCTTCCCAGGATAACGAGATGTGTGCGTAGCAGTAAGTAGAGGTGGATGTGATTATTAACTCGTGGGCACTGCGTCCAAAGCTGTGCTATGTGCTTTGCAAAACATCTAGGAAGACAAGGTCCCTTGCTTGAAAACCAGGCCTCCTGTAAAGGACAAGTGAGAAGGGCCATACCAAATTCACGGACCATTTTGGTTAATTTCATGGCCAATGGGTTTTAAAACTAGTCAATTTCACGATTTCAGATGTTTACATCTGAAATTTCAGGGTGTTGTAACCACGGGTGTCCCGACCCAAAATGGGATCATGGAGCGGGGGAGGGAGGTGTCACAGAGTTGTTCTGGGTGGGGCGGGGGGGGTGTCACAGGATTTCCACCCTCATTTCTGTGCTGCCTTCAGAGCTGGGCTCTGACAGTTCATTAGCTAATTTAATAAAGCCACGATGCAAACTACTTTGTCTTCCCTTTTGTTCTCTTATCCTGAATTAAAACTGGTTGCTTTTTCTTATTGAAAACTTGTAGAAAAATGTAGAGAGTTAATTAAATTGCAGCGGGGAGAGACCCACTGAGAGAGGCCAGAGGAGTCTGTGGGGAAGCTGGATGTTCACTTGGCTGCATGGGTGTGGAGGAAGGAAGAGGAACTCAAAGGCCATCTCAGAACAAAACCTACCCCTGCAAAGAGGCCATGGGAGTCCTAAGTATTTCATATCTAAGCCTCTAGATTCCTTAGCCAGCCCCTCTTCCAAAGACTCCATTCTTGGCCTCTTCCTCAGGCCTGGCCAGAAAGAAGCCACTGACATGCTCCGGCATGTATTGAGAAGTGTACTTGTTTCCTGGCTGTGACGCTATACTCAGACCTGTGCTCCTGGGAATATGTCCCGGGGTGGCCAGCAACTGTCTGATCTGTTTCCCTTATCATTGTCTCTGCAGCCTGATGCCCTGGATGCATTTAGATGGCGAGTATCTCTACCTGTCCCAGGCAGAAGACATCCGGGCCTACCGGTTTCGTCCAGACAGTACTGGCCTACAACGCCGTCCTCAAGCCATCTTCTCCGGCCACCAGGAAGATGTGTGTCGATTCGTTCTTGCCAGCTCCCACATCGTCAGTGGAGGAGGGTAAGCTCAGTGCTGTGGGGGGCCAGGGCTCTTCAGCTGCTCCAGTAGAGGAATTAATTTTCTAAGCACTCTGGATAAATCTGTTTCAGAGCAGAACAGTGTGTTTGCCATCCAGTGCTCCATGTTCCACCATATTTAACTTCCTTGCACTGCTCTTTTCCTGCCAGTTTGATTTGCTTCTTCCCGAAAGAGACCTCTCCAGGGGTAGAGCACAGTCTCCTGCTAATGACCTGTTCAAGCCTTGATCTCTTTGCAGATGCTGCCGATAAGGGAGCTAAGCAGTGCCGATTTTGCCAGGGATTTTAATATATATTTCTTTCCTTTGCAATAATGGTGACTGTAAGGACAATGCATCTCGACCGTGGAGGGGCATGTTATTCGGAACTGGGCATTCACTAGCTATAGTTGTGCACACAAACAACTTGCATCTACCTGGTCTTTAGCAAATGAAAAGACCTAATTTATAAGATGCTCATCTTTTGGTACCTGACCGTGGTAGTACTAATGATGACTTCCCGCTCGGGGTTTTATTTCACAGTGATGGAAATATCATCCTTTCTAAAGTCCATGGCTCCTTCAGCATAAAGTTCTCTGCGCACGAGCAGGAGGTGAACTGTGTGGATTGTCAAGGGGGCATCATCGTGAGCGGCTCCAGGGACAGAACAGCAAAGGTGAGCAAGCGTCGTGTCCGGCACTGCACGTGCTGTTGCAGAGAGGTGAGCTGTGAGCTCTGCGTGTGTTTAAAGGCGGGTTGAATGGGACCTTGAGCCCTGCACTTGCCTCTCTGGGTTGGGAGCACAATAAACCTTGCTTAGGTTTCTGGAGAGCCGCTTGCGATGTCAGCCCACCAGGAAAGGGGTCCAGCAGGAGTTGGGGGAACTAGCCACTGGCTTGAAAGGTGAGATGGGGTTAGTAACAGAGGGTCAGACCAGATGGACTTACGGGGGAGTTTTGGCTTGGCCTTATAATGCTGTTGTAACATGTATTTCCCTTTCTGTTTGTCGCTCTCCAATTTCATCCCAAGTGTCCGGGACAGTCTCTCTTTTGTGGGCTCTTTACGGCGTTATTCCAAGCTTTCAAAAGCTGTTTCCTAGGATATGTTTTTTGTAAAAAGACATGAAGTGTGCAGAGCCAGCCAGGACCCATTTTTTGTCTTTCAGTGACTTTCATATCAAATTGGAGCCATTTAGCTAGTGCGTGCTAGGCCTAGGCTCCTTGAGGCTGGGTCTCGTTATTCTCCTAGCACTCTGCCCTGATCGCGCAGTGCTGTGTTGATGGATGGAGCTAGAGAAGAATTCCCCAGAGTGGTGGTCAGTTGAGTTTTAAATGTCCCAAGTGATGGTGCTCGCGGCCCTTCCCCTGGGAAGCTGTTCCACGGGTTGAAAAGCTCTCGCTGTCTAGATGTTTCTCCTGATATGCAGGTGATCATACGAGCAGGACGTGTAAAGATTATTCAATTCTTGTTTTTCATGATTGGGCCTTTGCCCCGCCACTATCTTGTGCATCTGGTCTGGATCTAAGGTACTTATGTGACCTCCATTCCCTTAGTATGGGAGCATCTCCTAACACCGCTGCAGGATAGGGCAGTGCTGTTACCCCATTTCATAGACGAGGAACTGAGGCCGTGAGGGACCAGGTGGCTTTTCCAAGGTCACACGGGAAGCCTGTGTTAGAACAGGAAATTGAACTTGGGTGTCTCGAGCCCCAGGCTAGCGCCCTGACCCTTGGACCATCCTGTCCCGCTTGGCTTGGCTTGGCTGGCCGCTCTGGATGTTGCTAACCCATTGTCACGCTACGTTCCATAGCTATGGTTTTGTCAAACACAATTTCTGGCCAGAGTTTGCCTCGGCTCAAATGAGTTTGAAGCTGGCCGGGCACCAAACTGTGCTCAAGTAGGACCGCGGGGCCTGTCTTTCGGGCAGCATGGTCACACAGCTCCCATGGGCAGGAGCAGCTCAGACCTCTTATGACCTTGAGAAGAAACTCCCGAAGGTCAAAGAGAATTTAACTTTTTGTATTTTGCCCGGTTCTGCAGCCGGAATGAGCTTGCCCGCCTGACCCTCCCATCTGGCCATGATGGACGGAGTCACTTTGATTTTTAGAGGGCTTTTTCTCGTGTGCGTTGTAATTTCTGGCGGTGGGACGGGAATCCGCAGCAGTACTTTAAGGGAGCTCTAAGTGCAGTGGATGCTATTGAGGGCTCTCCGAGTGTTGATTAGAGCTAAGCTCCGAGTAGCTGCTAATGTACATTCCTCCCTGATAGGCACCAGATAGCACGCTCTGAGCAATATTTTTAACCTGTAGGAGATAGGGACGCCTGAAAAGAGTTAAGCTTTTCTGCTGCTTTTGCTGACACTAGGTGCTAAATTCCCTGCTGACGGGAATAGCCTGCAATCCTGGGCATTATCAACAAACAAACAAACACGGCACCCCCGGCTTTGAAGTCTCTAAGTAAAACATTGGGCATGGGGAGAAAAAGGGAGCTAAGGGCTAGAGTCCAGAGAGCTATCCAAGCTGAGGAGGGGGAGGGGGCTTGGGGATCAGGGGGGCTCTGGCAGAACCCCACACTTTGCTCCGACCGTTCATCTCTAGGGAAGGCCAGGGGTGCGGTGGATGGCAAGGGTGAGTCAGTGTAAGGGGAGCATGTGTTGGGGGAGGGGAGGGGATTCTTCCAGGCTGCTGGGAGGTCAAGGGCCTTGCCCTCTCTGCATGTCTATTGTTTGAAGATACCTAGGGGGTGGGCTTAAAAAGCCGGGCCTACGGAGATGGGTCTATACGGGAGCACAAATGAGACAAGCCTGCAATTAATTTCCAAGCGAGTACAAATGGAAATACTCAGTTATGACACCCCCCCCCGGAGAACAAGGCGGTATTTGAACATACCCTGATCTGGTTGCTCTGGAAGCTTTGCACGGCACGCTCTGTAGTACCAGGCCCCTGCCCTGAGGAGCTTGCAGCGTAATTTTGGCTGTTCCACGGCGTGGAGCTGATGATCAGCTGGGCTGGGGCTGTGAGAGGATCAGAGTCTGGCAGTAAAGTCGCTTGGGGACACAGTTGAGGCCTGTGCTTTTCCTGCTGGTGCAATTGTATGACTGAGAGTTCATTCAGAAGATCAGGGAGGGGGTGGTTCTCTTCAAACACAGGCTTGGATGCCTGTACCCTTCCCTGCCTGCTTCTGGGTGACCTGATGTAGCACCTCTCTGTCTCTCCAGGTTTGGTCCCTGTCCTCTGGCAGAGTTGGGCATTGTTTACACACGGTGCAGACTGAGGACCGGGTCTGGTCCATCGCCATTAGTCCATTATTAAGGTAATCAAGACCTTTATTAGTCATTTTAACAGGTACTGCTTAACTTCCTCCCTGCCCCCCCCCCCAATCCCCTGGTACTCTGGATTTGCAAATATATCCAAGATAGTGGTGCAGTTGTCTAGGAACTTGATAGGGGTGGGGGCAGATGAGGAGGGAATAGGCTGAGTTCGAATCACTGTAGCCCTCCATGGGGGCAGAAGTCTTAGGGGAGTATGCTCAGGTCACCTCCCACCAGAGCCATGTGGTCCCAGCCTTGAACGTGACTCTGTAGAAATGGCCCCTGGTGTTCCATCCCTGTCTGCTCCCTTGTTCACTTGCCGAGTGAGAGCCGCTCCGCTTTACACGCAGAGCTTGTGTTTTCCTCCTCTCAGCCCAGATGGCACTGTGGAGAAACAAGGCAGAGCCTATCCTGTGTCCTGCGCTCTGACTCCAGCCTCTTGTCCGCTGACAAGCGAAGCAGAAAGGGGTCCTCTGGGCCTGTGGAGCCAGTGAGCTCAGTTGGCTTGGGAATGGAGCAAATTGGATAGGGAAGGTCGTTAATGGAAAGTAAATGAAATGCGAAGATGCTGTTTTCCAGCTGCTCTTCTGAACTTAACCCTGCTCCTGAGCGTGCAGTTGAGGCCTTAGGCTTGTCACTGTTCAGTAGAGGATGTCAAGATGTTGCGTACAGCAGCGAGTGTAGAAGCTGCAGCCTCTTCCAATCTACTGATCAAAGAGTCTGTGCCTCCCATTTCAGAGAAGGTGGAATGATGATAAACTCAGAGAAGCTGAACCTGTGTCCAGTAAATCGTCGAACTGGACTGGCAGTGAATTGCCATGTGTAGGTGCTGTTGAGTTGGCCTTGATGTCGTCCCTCCTGCAGGAGACATGCCTCCTTTCCTGTCCCCGGGAGCGACCGGATAGAGCTGCTAATAATGCCCGGATGGTGTCTATAGACCTAAATGATCCCAAATTACTCTGCAGACTGTGGACCGTATTGTGCACTGAGCTCTATCCCATGTGTTCCCATGTCCCCATCGCAATGGACACTGCACCCTGCGATGCTCTGTTGGGCTCTGCCATCCCTGAGTTTCAATGGGATGAATTTTAGGCCAGCCCAGTGCTAGGAATTTCCCGTGAGAACTTGTCCTCATTAGGTTTCCAAGCCAGTTTTGCAGCTCCCCATCCATTTTACGTGGGGTGGGTCTTGGGGGGGTGATGGAGCTGAACCTCCTGCCCAAGTGAGCTTCACCTGTGCCTAGTTCCATGACGCTTTGTGTGTGTGTGTGCAGGCCGCTCTCTGAGCCATCCACAGTCGTATCAGTGGTGACCAAGGCACCCGTGCTGGCCTCCAGTCTCTCGGCAGGGGCCTGGGTGGTTTTCCCTTCAGACGGCATCTGTTGGTCCTTCTGCCATGGCTGGGCAGAGCTATGCAGCGGGCTGCTGTATTCTCCTAAGTGATGACCTGTGGAGCTGGCCTCTTGTCAGGACACTGTCTCCTCTCGCCGGCGCGCATACACTCGTGCACGCTCTCTGTCACAATATTTACCTAGCGTCTTTCTCCCCCCGCTGGGTGACAAATGGGCGGCTGCAGAGCAGCTACCCCACAAACGAGTGGGCTCGGATCACTCGCTCGTTTCATGAGACCGCGAATCCCGCCAGCCTCCCCTCTCGCTGCCCCTCCATATATATTTTTTTTTTTTAAGAATTAGAGCCGATTAGCCACGTCATTAATTCTTCAATTTGACGGCTGATATAGCAGGGCCCGAAACACACTGCTGACCCCGCATAATGGAAACCCCGCTCCTTAACACATTGACGATGGGAGAAGTTAATTAAAATTCCACAGAGTGAAGGTGTCGGCTAACCTATAAACCTGTCGCTTTTAAGAACAAATCGCTGCCATCCTAGAAGAGAGAGGGGATCAGAGCAGGGGCAGGCAGGAGGGTACGGGAGTGGGGGAGCAGAAGCAGGGGAGATGGATTTTCACTAATAAACGTATTGTTCGCTGTTTAATGAGCATGTATCTAAAATCGTCTCTGATCTCTAGCCAGGCCAGCTATTGGGGGGCTTGTCCCTGCCTGAGCCGTTGGGATCCTGTACTTCCCTGCTTTACATGCCCAGCACACCTGGTCTAAAGAGTCTGCATTGTTGAGCTGAAGAGGGCAGGGAGGACTCAGGATAGAACTTGGGTAGTGCCGTTCGTCAGCCAGGGGAGTTGTTGTTTTAAACATAATATCACTGGCCCCTTCCATTTCATCCCAGATATTGCACGTTCTTTCCCCGATTCTCCCGTCTCCCACACTGAGTGAAATCAGGAGCTCCTCCATAGAAGTCAGCAGCTACCCCGGTGTGCAACCGATGCAAGATCAGAATCTGGCCCTCTGTGTCGGGCAGCCGGCACTGAAGTGCAACCAGGCCCTTCTATGGTGGAACACAGAAACTTTTTAACCACGCGAAGCAAGAGTGCACAACAGCTAGGACAGGAAGCAAAGAATGCCACCAAATCAACTTGAAACTGCCAGGGAATTCAGACAGAATCCAATTTCTTAAACTGGAAGTTGGCCAGGCCACAGGAGTTAAAACCCCAACCATTGGGAAAAGCACCACGGATTCTTTAATAACCACCATCAGTCAGCACTTCAGTTTCCCATTTTGCTTTTCTGTAGCCTAGTTCTTTTGGTCTCCTGCCTCTGAAGCATCAGAGATGGTCACAGCTGGAGATGGGCTGCTGGATAGGGTGGCCCTGAGCATTCTTTTGTCCATGTGCTTTCCTGGCTGGTTGTTGCTCACATGGGCAGGGTCTAGCTGACCACCCTGTGTGGGATCAGGAAGGCATTCCCCCCTCCCCAACCCCCCGGTCGGCTTGTCAGTGACCTCAGGGGTTTTTCACCTTCCTCAGCAGCGTGGGGTGCAGGTCAATTGCTGGGATTATCTGGACATATCTCACTTAGTCATTTCCCTGCCATTGCAATTCATAAATGCACCCACTCTTTTTCTGTAGTTAAAAAATAAAAATCTGACCTTGGGGCCCTGTCTGCTCAACAGTGCAGCCCACTCGAAATGAGGAAAGCTAGAGTGACCAGATGGGTGCCACAGTGTATCAATGTGTTTCTTTACGTCTAAGTTCTCCGCAGTCATGAGTTTTCTTTGCTCCCTAGGAGAACTGCACGTGATCTGATAAAGGGCATTCAGGGGTTCTACATCTTCTGCTGGAACTTCCTAGAATCATAACTTCTTTGGGAGTCAAAACAGAGATCCCTCCCTGTACGGTAGCTTCAGTGTGTGCCGTCGGGAGTGGTGCTGTACTGGGGACGTGGGGTTAGCTGTGTGAGTGGCTACTGATGAGCTCTGTATGTAAAGTGGTGTCCTTAAGTGGAACTGGATCAGGCAGGAAGTTAGTCCCATCTGTGGGGAGCAAGGAAATGTTACAAGTGTCTCAATCCTGCTGGTGCTGCTCACATGAATTGTCCCGGGGAGCTGGATTAGGCCCTCGATTTGGAATGCGCTAGCACCCTGGAGCTGGGGAAATGGCCTGAAAAGCACCATTCGTAGAGTAAATAGGAAGTGGCAAAGAAAAGCAGATTCTCCAGGCGATGGTGTGAATGGCCCCTGTGTCTCACTACTGCACTTTGCTCCTCATAACTTCTTCCCTGTATCATTGAGCGTGAGGTGAAAAGGCTCCCTTGTTATACTGAACTCCCTTCTAGGACAGCAATTCAAATCCATCCTCAGCAGGTGGCAATTCGAAGTTCTAGCCTTCTGGTGGCAAGCAGGTGGCCTGCCTGAAGAGCGTGTGGGGTGGGCTCCTAAGCAACTTACCAGCGAATGGAGGTCCACACCCCAAACCCCACTATCACAGCTGGCACCTCCTGGCCCTCTTGTTGGCAGCTTCAGCAGAGAAGATTAAATGGGCTATGGATGTTTCCTTGCCTTCCTGGGCTTGAAGAGGGTCCTCCCAGAATTGGGGTGAGGCCCGCTCGCTGCACATTGTGGGGTACATTATGCTAGTGCTGCCTAGCCTAGGTCTGTTCGGTGGATGAAGAGGACTTTGATCTCCAGGGATATCAATTAAGCACCTTTTTAAAAAAAAAATGTATTTATTTAGGAAGTCTGAACAAGTTCCCAAATCCTTGCCATGTAAATACCAGAAACAAAACAATCATTCCAGCAATTAGTTTTTGTTTAAAGAGACATTCTAGGGAATATAATCCTCCTGTCTTGATCAGGTTGTCCCCGTATTATAGAGTGAGCCTGTACGACACCTATAATATGTCATTTCTAGTGCTGTTTATTAAATCATGCACCTATTAACTGCGTTCAGTTTACTGCAACTCCTCCCCACAAAAGTTTTGCACCTGTTCTGTCAGGGGTGGTCCCACACTCAGGCAACAAGTAAAGAATCCACATTTTTAATGCTGGTTTAGTCTTCTATGTGATTATTTTTACAACATCTGCAATTAGATTTTTCAGTTCTCTGTTTGTGACTGACTATTTGGGTAACCCTCTTCTTTTTGATGCACATGGAACTAAATGTTCAGCTGTGTGACTTCCTCGTTGTCATGCCATACTCGCATTCTAGTGGTAAGACCAGCTTCACAATTGTGGAGCTCCCTAACAAAGTTATATGGGGTAAAGGAATTGCACCCCATCACCTTCGGTCTCCTCTCCCTCACCTTCTCTGCACAATCTCTCCTCTTGCATTCAGTACAGCCAGCATCTCTGCTGGTCAGTGCCCTGAGAGCAGGAGAGCGCACAGTCATGTGGCACCTTTGGGACGTTGGGGGTGTCCCATAAGGTGGGAGCCCCACTGGACTGCAGCTTTGAGGGCTCCCAAAAGCTGGCTCTCCACTACGATAGCGAACACTGCAGTTAAGGTTGCAAAGGTGCTTCCACTCTAAACCCCTCTCCCCAGCCGCTCGTAACTTACTGCGAATTCATTTGCCTTTTGAACTCTGTAATGTGCGTGTTACGTTTTTCATTTAACGCTGCTTACTGTGGTGACTTATTTGTGTTTGGGG